CAAGCGAGCCTTCCAAAAAAGTATTGTAAAATAATATAAAAAAATTTTTCATCAATTGTGTAACGATTTTGTGACGTTCAACGGTTCCCCCTGTTGCAGTATCGGTATGCTTTTGAATTTTCCAAATTAAGAAGCAATGGACAAATAAATCCTATTTTTTCAAAGTATATTAAGAAACAATGGACAATTTATTTCAAAATATGCGACAAATAAATCCTATTTTTTTCAAAGTATATATACTTATTTAGCATAACATATATTTATCAAAAGGCTAATTTTATTACCGGTACGCCTATATAATTTTCTGATTCGGAATTTAAAGACAGAAAATATTTCTTTAAACTCTCGCTTATTTTTGAAACACCGATATATCTATATATAAATAAACCATCTGATAAAACGTTTTTCGTTTATAATAGTACATAATATCATTTGCTGAAATAACGATGACAGAAGGAGAAGATTTTGAGATAGAAGAAAAATTTACCAATCGCTTGAAAACGATTATTCGTGACGTTGAAGATTCACAAGTTCTTCACGAAATTCTACAGAATTCGGATGATGCCCAAAGCACAGAACAAATATTTATACTTGATCATAATACGTATTTTGGAGAGGGCCTCCTTAAACCCGAGCTTATTAGATTCCAGGGACCAGCGCTGTTGTCAATAAATAATACCAAATTTAGTGAGGATGATTTTACATCATTGAAGAACTTTGCTAACAGTGTAAAAAAAAATCAATGTAACAAAATTGGTGAAAAGGGCCTTGGTTTCAATTCCATTTATCATTTATGTGACAGTTGCTCGTTCATCACTGGTAATAAATTTATATTTCTTGACCCTCACAAGCGGTGCTATAAGAAAAGCGTTAAGTATAATGATTTTGCAAAATTATCACAAGAATATCCCGATCAATTTTATCCCTTCAAAAATCTTAAAATTCCATTTGATGGATCATTCGAAGGAACGATCTTTCGATATCCTTTACGCACTGAGCGAGATTCTAAAGATTCAGAAATATCAGAAAAAATTTATAAGCCAAGTCAAATTCTAGAAATGTTTAAAGAGTTTTTTGATAATTATAGCGTTAATTGTCTACTTTTTCTTAGTAATATTGAACGTATCGAGTTTTATGAGTTGAAGAAAGGAAAATCTGAGCCCGAATTAATTTACAGGATTTTGCTGAAAGATGCAGAAAAAATACGCGAAAAGCGTCAGATGATTGTTAAAGATCTTAAAGAAAATAAACCTATTCAAGAAACAACGTTGGACACATCATATAATGCATCTATTGTTCGATATAAAAAAGAACATATTGTAGAAGATTCTTCGTGGCTCATTTTAAATATGCTTGGTAATTTACATGACGTGAAAAGCAAATTTCCGAATGACTTGGGAGAAAAACTTGTACCAAATGTAGGGTTAGCTGCAAATTTAAATTTAGATCATCTTAATGGAAAGTTATTTTGCTTTTTGCCTCTTCACGATACCCCATTCCGAGTTTCCATAAATGGGCACTTCGCAGTAAGATAGCATTTCTTGCCTATTGTTAAAATTAAATCGATGTGAAATTAATCTTTAATACAATAGGTTACTAATAATCGGCGTGACCTACATTCTGGAGAAGCCAGAGATTCGGTAATTATAAATTTAATTTATTGCTATTAATACTGTAGTGTTAATTAACAATTTGTATAAATGTTTACTTTGTTTCAGATCGACGATTTTGTTGGTTTGAAAATTAAATGGAATAAGTATCTTTTTGAAGAGGTATTTATTATTTCTAAATAATTAAACTTATAAAAGGAAGATTAATTCATTATATAAAAATCTTCAGGTTATACCGCAAGCCTGGGTGAAATTTATTATTAAGATTCAATCACATGTGAAACAAAAAGAAGCTTATTATAAGTTTTGGCCAATTACAGATCCAACTCATGTATCATTAAAATTCTTTAATGGCCTTTTAGAAAATATGATAAGAAAACTTAATGCAGACGATGAAATTTTTTGTGAAAAAAATGGCCAAATGTTATCTATTTTAAAGGGATATTTTCCAGATAAATCGTGCGACGAACATGATATTCCAAATATACTGAGTGAGATTGGATTTCCAGTTATAAACGCTCCCTCTGAAATCATTGAAGTGTTAAAAAAATCTGATAAGCAAAATAGTCTCAGATTTTATTCCCCTAGCATTGTGAGCGAATTTCTTCAAAAACAAGGAGAATTGCAGGATAAGTTAACAACCTTAAAATTATTCTATTATTTATTGAGCGATGAAAATTATGAGATATTGGAAGGTCTGAAAATGTTTCCATTGGCTAATGGAACATTTAAAACAATATCTCAACATGGCGCAGTCACGTATGTATGTTCAGATCGTTTTGCGGGTCAAGGTGATGATGATCCACGAGAAATTTTTAAAGATCAATCAGAAAAGTTCATTGCTAAAGACATTTCACCCGATTTGTTGGATCGTTTGATCTACAAAGTAGAAAAAGGATGGAATTTTAAAATCGAGATGTTAACCATACCGAGTATTGTTGGCATGGTTAAAAATAAAATTTATCTAAGCGAAAATCATCCTAATTCTTCTGATTATGAGATTGTTATGGAAGACCTTGAATGGATTAATCGACTTTGGAGTTATTTGTGTAATAGATTCGTTGATATTGATTTGAAACCATTTGAAGATATCCATCTAATACCAACAAAACATAATACTCTCAGAAAACTTAAAACAAATCAAGTAAAATGTTTTTTGAACAGTATTGAAAGTTTGCAAAACCAATTTGATCAGATATATCCTATTCTTCAAAAGCTTGGTATAATTTTCATAAATAGAGAGTTTGAAAACAATATAACCCCTCTAAAGGAAAGGTGCGTAATGAAATATTTTGTCATTTATATGCTTTATTAATAATCTTTATGTTAATATATACCAACAGGCTCTCAGCATATATTTGCGATATGGGTGATATAAATTCAGTTTTATCATCATTAAACACAACTGAAGCATGTAGTTTAGACACGAATGAAGCAGAACTTCTCATAAATTATTTGTATTATTACTTGCGCTATTCAAATCCTCCTACAAAGGATCATATTGAAACTATTAAATGTTTACCAATTTTTAAGGAGGTTGGTAAAAATGAGACTACGAGCTTAACTTTCAAGGAAAATGTGTCTTTGTTCCTTTTACCAACAGAAGATGAAAAGGACTATGGTCAAATAATTGCACCAGAGGAATTTAAGTTTCTTGATACAACATCAATAGAAGCACGTTATTTGCTAGAAGATATTATCAAAATTCGACGTCTACAACAACCGGATTATTGGATAGATTATGTGATAAAATATTTGAAATCTACCTACGATAATGATATTGTGGTTGAAAAACTTTTTGAACGATTGCGAAAGCTTGTTTCTTCCAACAATTCGCTAAGGGACAAATTGAGAAATGTTCCTATTGTGCCTTGCGTAACACTCCGAATGGCTCAAAGAAAACAAAACCCTGACCAAGTCAAGCTCAGAAAGCCTATTGACCTTTATGATCTTTATAAAGATAAAATTACTCAATTATTTTTCGACGATGAGCAAGTTTTTCCAGCGAAAAAGTTTTTGAAACCATACCGTGACCTTTTGAAGGATCTGGGAATGAAAACTTCACTTTCACCAGTAGATATAGTCGAGAGAATTGAAACATACATAAAACGTCAGGAAATGGAAAAGAATAACGATGATTTATACGATAAATCACTTAATCTGCTTAAATATATTGATGACTATTGGAACTCATTAGAAGATAAAATTGTTAACTTCTTACCATTTATTAAATCTTCAAAATGGATTCCGACTATTGACCAGTTTGGTATAAAATCATTCTCTAGTTCATCTGAATGTCGTGACAAAAAAGATGAGCATCTAGTATCATTAAAACTTTCAATTCTTGATTATCGAATCGAGAGTCAATTTCGCGAGCATCTGGAATGGGACAGATATCCTCCTGTGAATATTGTTCTTGAACAAATGAAATTATGTTCTACATTGGTTAAGGAAAATAAAAGTTTTAATCATCGACAAAAAATTTGTGAAGCGATTTACAAATATATTAATGAGGCTCTATCACACGACGAAGAAAGGTCTAAACAAGTGGTCAAAGAAATAAGAGATGGATTAAAAAATAAAAAGTGGATTTTTTGTGAAAGTAAATTCTATGCGGCAAAGGATGTTGTTTTTACTCTTCCAACGAATCTTTTAAATAAGCTACCAATTATCCAGTTACCCGAGAATTATCGAAATAACTTTAGTAAAGTATTTAAATATATGGAGGTTCGACAAACAGTTGATGTTTACGATCTCATTGATATAACCAAGAAAATTGCTCATGAAGCAAATGATAAAGCATTAAATGATGAAAACTTATCAAAAACTATTGCTATTCTTGAAGAAATCGGAAAGAAGTGCAATAAATCTAATGAGAAAAAGACCGATTATTTGAAAGATCTGCTTATTCCAAGAACTGATGCTATTCTTTTCAGTCTTGAAAAAATTTATTATGATGATAGGGCCGGACTAAATAATGATGAAAAAGAAAATTACGACCTCACTCACCCTAAAATATCAATTGCACTTGCTAGAGAACTTGGAATTCAAATGCTTTCCGAGGCATTCATAGAAGGCAGTGAAATTGACATAGAAATTTATGAGCAATCAGAACCTTTAACAACCAGAATAAATAAGATTATTAGCGTAAATGTTAACATTTTATGTTATAACTTAAGTTATAAGTCGCTATTTTTTATAAATTAATATAATTTTAAATAACATCTAGAAATGTTCGCTCGATTCCTTGTTCAGAGAATTTCTTCAGGTGTTGTATCTAATAATTCTTTTTTAAAATAATTTACAATATCGCATAAGTAAATCATCACAATCACATAAATAATTCATATATTTATTAGAACGCTGATGACGCAGGAGCACATAGATTTTCTATCTATATCGATGAGAGGCCATGGTGCAAGAAATTTGATAAATCCACACTCTTATCTAAAGAAATGTATGATTGGCAAGGTCCAGCTATTTGGATTTACAATGATGCGGTGTTTAAAGAGGAAGATTTTTCTTCATTAATTAAACTTGGCGTTGGAGGCAAATCTGAAGACGATAGCAAAATAGGTCGTTTTGGACTTGGAATTACCACTTCTTATTATTTAACTGACGTTTTATCTTTTGTGAGCGGAGAAACCATTGTTCTTCTTGATCCTCACAAAAGATTTCTTCCGAAACAAAAAATACAAGGAAATCTTCCAAGACGATTTGGAGGAAATAGGTTAAATTTTCTCGATAAAAAATTTTTATCTCGTTTTGAGGATCAATGTAAACCATATCTTGCTATAGAAGATTGTGATTTTAAAAAAGGCTTTAACGGAACCTTATTCAGACTGCCACTTAGAAGCACTGAATTATCGAAGCAAAGCTTAATTTCGCAAAATTCAATAGGACATGAAAGAATTTTAAACCACCTTCGCAAATTGGAAGGTACACGTAATCACGAGATTCTTTTTTTAAGAAACATCGAAACGTATAATATATATCATATAGATAAGAATGAACACAAACAGTTGATCTGGGAGGCGAAAATTCAAGGTTTAGAAGATGTCAGAAATATTCGCAGTAAAATTGATTATGAACCGCAGGTTTTTCAACTTGATATGAAAATCT